TCTCGTGCAAGCCAATCAGCGAAGAGCTTCTTGACACGTCCAGTTGAATCAGACAATAGAAGAGAGCATTATTGTAGCCGTCTGTTATTATATAGGTCTGGAGCATAGAAAACAATTAAAATCAGTTGTAGTGGTAGTTGTATTTTATTAGCATGGCTACAGAGATGCTGCTATCAATAATAAAAATAATAGTAATATCAGTGTATATATACAGTAGTAAAATGTAACACAAATTAATACAGGATCCTAATGTTATTCATCCTCCTCTGGATGGTGCTGTGAACCCAGACACATCAGCGTTTGACTTCCCATTGTATTTGGGACTTTTTGACAACAGGTACAAAACAGCGATTGTAGTTATCTCCACCATGGTTGATAATGAAACTGTTTTTATTCGCGCGAGTGACACGAAAAACATCCCCGCCAGCGACTTTTTCGCTGTTTGTGGCTTGTGGCTGGCAATTGATGTCGCTAGTGGGCGTTCCCACTACTGGTTGCCTAGTTACCCCGTAACACTCCACTACAGCAAATGAATCACTTGCTCTCCACTGACTTCACTCCCATTGGTTACGCGATGCGCATATTCGCTTTGCGTCTGGTGTGAACACACCATTAGTCTGTTCCAATTAAAAAAATATTTAGATCATCTCTCAAAAGAATAAAACGAAGATATGTGAACAAAATGCAAGTTTTGGCCATTAGCAATCCATAAGGAGTGGGGTATGAGTGGTTATGAATGAATGAATGAAACGCACTTGTCCGTGTTTCACTCCGTCTCGAATCCCGCGGCACGCTTTCAACTCGTTTTTTTTAGTCTCGAGCAAGACTGTACAACATTCACATTACATGATTTGACTGATTTTTACGTAGAAAGGGCGACAGCGCGCCGCGTTAAAAGAAATTATCATTCATGTTTTCATAACCGCTGGCCAAATTCAAAAACGAAACTAAAATTAAATCATCTTTGAGAGCAAGGGGACCCCCTGGTGTTTCGGGGGCCCTACGCAGCTTGCGTATTTTGCGTATAGGGAAGATCGGCTCTGCCTTTACAAAGTCTAAATCATCAATAAAGTGTATACTGAATTTGGCCTTTAAATATCACTGTCTTACTACATTACTACTTAATGCAAACATCATAAAAAATAACTGGCGGTCAGTGGAGGAAAGCCTTTGCCCTCCATGTGGGCGTTCCTTTAAGGGTGTGACGTCACGTGAAAACTATCAATGGCAATGTCAATGGCAATTTTATTTATATAGCACTATTTACTACAACCAGAGTTAACCAATGTGCTTTACAACAGAATAACTAAAAACAGCAACAACACAATGAAAAATAAAAACATCATAACATGCAGCAAAAATATAGGAAAAGGATGAAGAGCACGTCAACAAGAATGAAAGCCTTATCGAACAGCTAGGTTTTTAATTTAGACTTAAAAATAGCCACAGATGAAGCCATTCTAATAAAAATGGGTAGATCATTCCAGAGTCTTGGCGCAATTGCAGCAAAAGCGTGATCACGTACCCCTGCACTTCCGCCTCGTCTTGGTAATGACGGAACTTGCGACAATAGTTGCTTTTGGGAAATGCACTTAACACAGAATTTTGAGGAATGAAACTTTTTGAAAGGAAGGGAAACTAAAAATTATGACAACATAAAAAACAAGTTTATTAGCAACATCAGGAGATTGGAAGCTTGTGTCACAATATTGTAGGCCTATATGTGACCTTGGAGCCATGCTTAAAGTGACAGTCATCACCGTCAATGATGAAGAATGCAAAATCAGCCACCAACAGAGCACATGTTAATTTGTGAACCTGTTTCTGTTATGAAACAGATGAAATTCTGTTCAGTTACCAAATGTTTTGTCAATCACAATATGCTTCTTGTGAGGCAAGGTTTTTGTGTTGATTTCTCACTTCAAGCTGGACTCAACAGCCCTGCCAACACTGCCATTTACAGTTCAGCTAAGTGAGTGTACAACATATGTCATGTGTGGTCAGAAAACAAAGCAGTAAAGAGTTTTACATTTTTATAACAAGCTGTACTGTAAATTAATACATTAACTTTCTGACATAACCATCACCCTGGTGAACAGGGTCAGTTAATGCGTTTCTTTTATAGTCTGCAATTCTACATATTACACATTTGTATTGCAACTTATAAATCAGGCCAGTATAAATTCATATTTAGCTTTTGTTATGGTCATATTTGTTTGAACCCCATATTAACATTAAAGTGGAATCTATACTATTTTAAAACTTCAATAAATTTATAAATGTAGAATAGCTGTAGTGAACAACACGTACTTCCTATGTATGTAAATTAGCACATCGCTTTATTTTTATTTTCATTTTGTTTTATTTTTATAACTATCGTTATTAATTGTTTTAACTTCTAATGTAGCTTATGGACACTAATGAAAAATTAGATCATCTTTATTTTGCCTGAAGAGGAACAGCAACAACTTCAAGATCAATACAAATGAGAAGAGCTTTTACACTTTGAAAACAAGTTACCTTTTTTTCTTTTTGAATTAGGATAGGTTTCTAAACATTTCAAGCTTGCATTAAACAGGCCCATATTATTTACTCAATTTCAGCTTTGAAATTCACGCAACAAACTTTGAATTATGATCATTTCCGATTTCTTTTGAGGACCTTTACTTCAAGTTGATTCGCCCCAATCTAATCACGTATGTTTTGACATATTAATTTAATAATCTAATAATTTGATTTGTATTATAATGCCTTACCCTAAAAATTGGGGAAATCCAAAATCGAAGTAACTGCCTCAAGACGTGTGTGGAGAGAGTGAATAAGGGCGTGAAACATCTGCCGTTTGGTGAAATAGAAGCATAAACGCTCTTCAAACCGTATGCGGAACTAGGACAAGGCACTGCGGTCGGCTGTTAAGATAAACATTAACAAGAAAGAATCTTTTCAATAACCTATACGCTTATAACCATTATTTTGCATTGCACTTAAAATGTTTGTTTTTTCCATAACATCATTTTTAAGCATATTCCAGCAACTAACTTAAACTATCTTATTAATATCTTATACGTGGGATTAAGCAAAAACGTATGCTTATAGGCTGAAAATTAATTAATATACATAATTTACAATGCAAAATGCATTTGAAACCTCAGGTATCCAGAAGACCCAAAGGTTTACTGACTTCATTCACAAGACTGAATCAGGAATACCGTTCCCTTTCATCTTTAATATAATCCTTATGGTTTTCAGTCAAAATTCACTCTAAAAAATGCTGGGTTGTTTCAACCCAACTTTGGGTCAAATATGGACTAATCCAACTTTTGGGTTAAAAACTGAATGTAAAAATTGAACCCAACGGTTGGGTTAGTCCATATTTGACCCAAAGTTGGGTTGAAACAACCCAGCATTTTGTAGAGTGTTGTCATAGGCCTACTGATGGACTCTAACTGTTTCCAATCATTCATAAACAGGCATAATGTAACGTTTGCCTTACATTTGTCTCAGACGATTGACCAAAAATAATGCCCATCAGATCTGCACTTGATAGCAGCTTCATGTATAGCTACAGCAAGTAAATGGAGACATCTAGTGGCTCCATCCAAGTGAGAGTGAAACACCTTAAGGCCTGTTCACACCAAGGACGATAACTAAAGATGGATAGCCTATATATTTCTAAACATCGTTCTCGTCCACGATGAGTCCACGCCACAGCTATAACGATAAAGGCACAGAGAAACGATATCGTTGGAATCACTATAGTTTCAGAACGATTTTTTTTTTTTTAGCTGATGAACGATAAAAACATTGACAGCCAATCAGAATCAATCCTGCCATAACGAGCTGGAGCATTTAAAGCGGCAGACGAGCGTGCGCTTGGAATAAACAGACGATATCGCCCGCTGGTAAAGAAATTGACAATTATTTGAATGTAATTTCAGTATCTACTAATAAGAAAGCTATAAGGACTGTTAGGATTTGCTCTGCCTTTGATCTCTTCATGTGATCATGTTTAGATGATGGCCCTCTTATCTTTATTTTTTATTTGTTTCCATTTTATTTTTGTGGTTGATATTATGTGATGTATACTTATTCTTTTGTATGTTCCCGTTCTCTGCAATAATTTTTTTTTTTTTAAATATCGCCCGCTGGTGTGGATGCTAATAAAATTATCTTTATAGTTATCGTTCTTGGTGTGAACAGGCCTGTACCCTTACAAAATTTCACATTAAAAGTGTAAAAATAACATACAATAAATATAAAGTAATATTTACTAAATCTACTAAATGCTACTGTTTGATGCTGCTTTCTAGGAGGAAATTTTCATATTTATTATTTTATTCTATTGACATCATAACTAAAATTAAGAAATAAATACAAATCTGCATATGGCTATGTGAAATAAATTGAGAATAGTTTAATTTGCATTAGTGCTATATCTTTATTACCACTTTGTCTTTTGCCCTCTGAGGGTTAACTGACACATTTTTGTTATTCAGATTTGGAACAATATTAATTGTACTTAACAGGTAGACGAAAAGTACACACATTCATATATAAACAAAGGTTATCATCAAATTTGTCATCCTTGAAATGAGCGAACGCCCCTAGTGGGCGGGGACACCCATGACAACAAACCGGCCGTTCCTCCAATCAAACACCTCGATACGACGATCCGTGTGTGATGCAGACACAGTACACGCTCATGACAGAGGATCTGTTGTCCGGTAATAGCGCACAAAGAGGCCTGTTCACCATACGGTTAAAGGTAAACCGTATGCTATTACGGGGCCAAATAAGTCGGGTGACTAGCGCACACTATTTCCTTTAACTAAAGAATGAAATCCTCAACGTTTGTTTGTGTGTAACGTACGCGCTCCTCTCCTGTAAGCTCGCGGATACTGAGAGGAATAAAGACTGAAGGCATGAACTGACTGGAGTTCACAGCACCCATGACAACAAACCGGCCGTTCCTCCAATCAAACACCTCGATACGACGATCCGTGTGTGATGCAGACACAGTACACGCTCATGACAGAGGATCTGTTGTCCGGTAATAGCGCACAAAGAGGCCTGTTCACCATACGGTTAAAGGTAAACCGTATGCTATTACGGGGCCAAATAAGTCGGGTGACTAGCGCACACTATTTCCTTTAACTAAAGAATGAAATCCTCAACGTTTGTTTGTGTGTAACGTACGCGCTTCTCTCCTGTAAGCTCGCGGATACTGAGAGGAATAAAGACTGAAGGCATGAAACTGACTGGAGTTCACAGCGTTCTTTGGGACAATGAGAGGCTTGCAGAGGGGAGGTAAAAATGCAAGGTAAGGGCCTTTGTCCTAGATCTCCAATGCACCCCTTATGTCTTCACAACTGCATGCACTACGTGTAATTTGGTTGTTTTATGCATATACCATATAACTCAGTATTACAGAATGTTATTTATTTTGTCCACGCATTAAAAGATTAATGTAATAACTTAAAATTCCTTGCAGTAGTCTGTCTATTAATCGAATTTGAAAAAAATCCAGCTTAGACTGGGATTTGTAGGGTCTTTGTAGGATTTCCCTAGAGCAAACATCCCATTTGACCACTAAATATTAGGTCTAACAGTAATAATAGAGAATTATTTAGAATATTTTTAGAGGTGTTTCATCCATCAGCATACAAAGAGATAACTGCAGTCAACCTGAATGTTACTTATCAACTTAGTAAAATTGACATTTTTAAACACACTAGCAATATGACTGAAGGCCTGGCAGCAGCAGCAGGTGCCTAATTCTTGGAAATGAGGGTAAGAACCAAGATTTATCAGTCACGCAAGGTAACCAGCTCATGATCTATTCCTCAGATTTAACATGACAGCAGCTTAATCCTAAATAGAAAATGGGCTTATATAACATGCCTGAAATTATCTTAAAAAGAATAGATGGTTTATGTTTTGTCTATTCAGTTATATAAGGTTATAATTTAGAAAGTATCTTACCCTAATATGAGAAACCTCATGGTAGGTCAAGTATGTTTTTAGAGGGGTTGATAAGAAAATCTATTAATTAATTAATTAAAATTACATAAATAATTATATATATATATAACACTTACTAAAAAGTGAAATAATTTATTTGTATACTTGCATGTCATGTGGCCATTAACTGACATCAGAGAGCCATAAAAATGCAAATGTGTTGTTATATTAACTTAAAATTTCACAGGGTGCGCCAAGTAAATATTTTAGGTAAAATGGGTTCGACTGAAAAAAAAAAAAGTTTGGAAATCCCTGAGGGAAA